ATGGCATTCATTCAATTTTTTACAAGTCATTCTTTAACTATAATTAGCTTCCCCGGAAAGTGCCTTTTGTTTGTTTAAATAGTAAGAGAGGTCAGGGATTTAGCTCAGTGGTTCTGCTGCCTGCCTTGCAAGTACGAGGTTTTGAGTTCAATCCGCCTGGTACTGAAAAACAAAACAAAATAATAAGAGAGAAGTCAGAATCTTAATAGTGGTAGTCTTGGGGAATTTGTTTAGTCTTTATTAGCCTACTTGATTTCATGAAATAGGCACTATCTGGATATGACAGACTATCATTTCTGTGCTTGGGAAGTCAGGAAATGATTTATTTTTGGGTTGTTAGTATTAAACAAAAAAGTGAGGCATGGTGGCACCCCACTGTGAGTTTGAGGCCAGCCTGAGCTGCATAAGGAGATCCTTTCTCAAACAAACAAAACAAAAGCCTCTGAAATACCACTTTTACCAACCTTATTGAAGTGGTTTCTTGTGTAGAACTGTCTACCTAATTTGAAGGGCTGTAGTGATGACAATAACAAGATTATGCACACCATTCAGTAGACCTGGATTGTGTGATTGTCTGTTGGATGAAAAAGAAAACAGTCCCACATGCAGAGTTATATAGGTAGTCAGGAGTACACTGGTAAAAATATTTTTCTCTGAATATGTTTTCTTTTTTCATTTATCCCATAAATACTTTAAATATGTTTGTAGTGTTGGCTTAAGTTTGCCATGGGTCTCAACTGTAATCATAACTCATGGTTAGAGTGGACCAGAAAAATTATGGAGAATGTAAAAATAATTCTTTTGTGTGTTACTGTGTTTTGTGAATTATATTACAGGCAGCTTAGCATAATTGTTGGGGCATTAAGATTGTGGGCCTTAGAGTCAGAGGATTTGAATTCAAATTTTATCCTATAACTTGATGACCTTGAGCAAATTATCTGCCTTCGTTTTGCTCATGTGCAAAATGAGAAGAAAAGTAATAACTACTTCATAGAATTGTTGTGAAGATTTAGTCTGTTGAGGAATATAGTAGGTCAAACCTGGCACACAGCACAATAAATGCTAGCTATTAATCATAATTACTGAAAATATCAAAGTTTATCAAGATGAGAACATCTGGAGAGTGGCTGGCTTATGTTCCCTTGTCTCTTTCTTCTTCCATACCCTTCAGATGAATTTGTAACAGCAGCTCACATGGAACCAGCCCCAGTCTGCTTCTCTCATCTTTTCTGTTGAGTGTTTTGGTGCAGTTTCATTGTGTGTGTGTGTGTGTGTGTGTGTGTGTGTGTGTGTGTGTGTGTGTAAAACTATACAACTTTATTGAAAAACACAAGGAAGACTATTAAGAGCTGTTCCAAATTCATGATAGGAAATTTCTGTATCAGAGATTAGTTTTAAAAGACAAAAAGTCAAGTATGATAGTTTTTATATTAAAGTCTTGAAGGCAGGTCCTGATAGAACAGGGTGATGTTCCTGCTGATAATTCAGGAGTTTGTTATTGTGATAAGGAAAGCTGAAAGAGAAGAGGGATCATAGAGGACACTGGTATTTTTGATGTGTAGGGGTGAGAAGATGAAAAGGGGTTACACCCGTGCACCAAGACTCTGAGTTGGACTCAAAGCCCAGCTTCCCCAGCTTTTGCATTGTGTTACATATCATTTTCAGCTTTCCAGGAACACAGCTTTTTCCAGCCCCCAAGTAAATGGCTTAGCAGATCAAGATTCTACTTTCCACTCATCAGCAAAAAGTTTTGATTACGGGAACAGTTCAAAGTAGGACATTACTCATGATCAGAATGATTAATCTCTTAAGTACAACTATGGCGATCTCCCCAAGACACTTATATGTTGTAACCTCTCCTTGGAGTCATAGAAGACGTACCCTCGTTGCTAGTATAGATGTCTTCTGTTGCCAGCTTTGGAAAAGGGGTGTCAGGAAGGAGGTGACGGATGATAGGGAAGGTAACTTCAGAGTCATCCAGTTTGGGGTGGCTAGCTGACCAGTTGTGGAAAGTCAAGACTGAGCAGAGGACCCTGGACAAATCTGTGGGGTACAATTGCGGTGTGTTAAAGGAGAGATGCAAAGGAGCAGAGAAAGCGGTTAGAGAACCAGGAGTGGAAGATTGAAAAATAGAAAATACTTACAAATCAACAGTAGGAGATATAGACAGTAAGTGAGCCCAATAAAACACTTTGATGGGGAAATAAAGGAAGATTTGAATAAATGGAGAGAATTTTTATGCTTCTGGGTAAGATTAATTCCATTAATCCTCATTTACTTTTGTACCAGAGAAACTGGTATTTACACATTTGTGTCTTATTTATTTCACTTGAAAGTATGGCCTCAATGTGCATCCAGTTAGCTAATAGATAATGTGAAATAGGAAGAAAAGGTCTGAAGGGGAAGGGGAAGTAGGAGCGATAGGGGAAAGAAAAGAAGGGAAAAGAAAAAATATGAGAAAAGAAAAAAATAGAAAAAGCCTTTGTAAATAGGGAGGGTTGGAGGAGTTGAAGGGAGGGCAGGGGAATGGGGAATAAATAAGCAAGATACATCATGTGAGTGTACAAATTCCCAATGATGAATGTCATATTGTGTACCTAAAATGTACCAATAAACTTAATGAATTAAAAAAAGATTAATTACATTAAAACAACACCTTCCTACAGCTGTAATCTCAGGTATTCTCAGGTTGGGGCAGAGGATTGCAAGTTGAAGGCCAGCCGGGACAGTTTAGCAAGGCAAAACAAAACTTTGCGTACTCAAACACAACATAGAACTCTTTTTATATGTTGGTGAATTCTGTTTCCTAACAGTTTAGATATTTTTATTTTGCATTCATGAGAGAGATTTGTAGTTTTCTCTTTTGGGAACTCTGTTTGGCTTTGATATCAAGTGATGCCAGGATTTTAAAATGAACTGGGAAGTGTTTCTTCCTTTGGGAAAGATTGTGTAGTACAGGTATTTATTTTTCTTTAAATGTTTAGTAGAATTCTCCAGTGAAATCATCGGAGGTTGGAGATTTTTTGGGGGGATTTTACATTAGAGTGTCAACTGGGTGAGTTGAAGAAATAAGTCCATTTTAGTTTGTTTGTTTGTTTTTGTTTTGTTTTATTTTTTGAGACAGGGTCTCACGAGGTAGTTGACACTGACCTGGAACTCACTGTGTAGTCCATGCTGGTCTGAACTCACAGCGATCCTCCTGCCTCAGCCTCCCCGAGTGCTGGGATTACAGGCGTGTGCCACCACGCCCAGCAGTCCATTTTATTTAAGGGTTAGGGGTGCTCATCCTTCCCTTTCTTTTTGTTTCCTGTAATGATACCTGTTTCATTTCTGATATTGGTAATTTGTACCTTTTCTCTTTTTTCTTTGTCAGTCTTGTAGGCTGAACTTACTTCTTTGATTTTACTTTGGTTCTTTGTTGTTTTCTCCCATTTGGGTTTGATTCTTTTTCTAGGTTCTTGAAGTAGAGACTTAGATTACTGATTTAAGATTTTTCTAATGTAAGCATTTCATACGTAAATTTTTCTCTTAGCAGTATGTTAGCTGTGTCCTATAAATTTTGTTCATCTGTAATATCTTATTTAACCTCCACACTAACTGTAGCAGTAGGTAGGAGTTTTCTACATCACTTTACAAGGAGGAAATAGACATAGAGAGATTATGTAAGATTCCTCTAGCTTCAGATCCAGATGACCTTCAAGCTTCCTCCTAGCTATGAAATTCTCTTTTATTTTAAATGTATTATTTGCTTTGAATTAAGACTATAGTCTCCCAAGTTTCAAACTTGATTGGGGATGATAAATGCAAACTAAGACTTGTATCATTTTTTGAACAATGACCTGCTCCTATGTGATACTTCATGAAAATCTTTCAAAATGGTGAGAAAAATAGTTTCTCGGTATAAGGAGCTTTTAATCTAGCTGGAGAGAAATGAATCACTTAAATGAAACTAGTAAACTGTGGCTTAGGTTTTGAGTCCTCTGACTTGAGTGCAGGGGAAAGTGCCTGAGCGTCCTGATCGGAACCTGTAAGTAGTTTAAATAGCCTAAGGAGGTGGAGCAAACCTTGGCTGAATGGGATCTCAGAAGTGAGCAGTGTGCTGACATGATGAAAAGGCACTTTTAAAAATAGAACATATGTAGGGCCGGGGATTTAACTCAGCAGTTCGGTGGCCTACCTTGCAAGCGCAAGGACCCAAGTTCAATCCCCGGTACCAAAAAAAAAAAAAAACATATGGCAAAACAAATGGGCTCAGATGCCTGGACAGAGAAATAGTCAAAAATAAATTTTTTTGACTTCCTGAAATAAGATGAAAACACTAGAATTACATTTTACCTGTTAAATTGTCAGATTAAGGTACAGATGACACTTAGTTTGATTAATTTATTGCTTAACTGCAGCTACAGACTTGAAATCTCAGTGGCTCAGTGTGACAAAAGTTGATGGTTCACATGAGGGTCTGATGTGGGTCGGCAGCTCTCTTAGTGACTATCCAGTGGGAACACAGTCTGAGTTGCTTCTGACTTGCCTCTTCATGTTTTGGAGTTTGATGCTTTCGGTTTTTTATATGGAAGGAAGGAGAGTCCATACTTGTTTGCAAATGCGTGCTACTGTGAGTGACACATTGCTTCTAGTTACTTCCTTTAGGCAAGAACTGATCCAGCCAAACTGTGAGACAGAATAGGAGCTATAGTGGAGCTAGTAGATACTTGGTGGGTAATCACAACTGATGTCATGCCATTATTGGCTCGCTATTGGTAATGGGATCTATATTGCTGCCAGGAGGATATGTTATCATCTGACTAGTAGACTATAACTTAAGACATTTTAGCTATACTACTCTGACCCAGCAATTTCACATTAAAAAATTCTGTGGATGTATGCAAAGATAATTATAGGACTATTGATTATAAGCATTGATTACAATAATGAAAAATTGGAAACAATTTAAATGTCTAATGAAAGAGGATAGTTTAAATAATGGTCTTTCTATATTGTAGGAGGATATTCAACTATTCATCTTCATGCAGTAGGATGTTGATGATGTGGGACAGTAGACTGTGATATAAGAAAAAAAAGTGGCTTACAAGACAACAACATATGGTGTCCCGTTTTTGTAAGTATATACGGATAGAAAAAAGAGGCAAAGCCTCTGCCTTTGGCACAATAGTAGATTACATTGCTACAACCCTCCCCCTCCCCTGCTTCACAGTGCATGTTGTGCTCTCATGAAAGAAAGGTATATTCTCATTAAAATAAAGAAGCAGTGGTAGGGGAAAGTTGGGGTTGAAGAGCAAAGCATTTGGTGAACAGTCTGATGCTACAGTGCTTTAGTAATTTGCATTTTTCTTTGTTTAGTTATAGTAACTTGTGCTGTAATTTTCTCAGAGACTAGAGGTAAAAGGCCTTGGGTCTGTGAGCATTAGAATTGAGATACCAGGTAAGATTTGGATCTTTATGGAAGACAAAAATCTATGCCTGCGCTTAGAGAAGGCGCTCTTATCCTGGTCCTGGATTGGTGGGGGAGAAGAGACCCACGGAGAACTCAGGACCATGGGCCCTCATTGTGTGGATTTTGTTCATATGAGGAGTCTGCAGATGGAAAAATTGACATAAAAGTGGTCTAAGGCTGATGCTATGATAGAGATGTCTATCAAACAAAGACTGCGCCAGCGGGACACATTCTGAATCCAGAGCACATAGATTTCTCAGAAATAAAGCACCCAAAGATGAACTCTGTACAGAATTACAAAGCTAAGAGGAAACCATCTACTATTTGTCTTTAAGAATCAGCAGACAGAGCAAAGTAAATCCACGAAGAGAAGAGATGGAAAACATAAGAAAGGACAAGGTGGTGTTGTAAAAATAATGCCAGGTAGTTAAAAGTCAGTAGAACTTTGGGAAATGTAAAGTAATCATTGAAATTAAAACCCAGCGGCTAGGATAAATAGTAGCTTCCACACAGAAGAGAAAATTAATGAACTAGATGAGTTTGGCCCGTGGGCCTAACCTGGGTAATGGCATGTTTGTTTGTTTGTTTGTTTGTTTTTTAAATGGCCTACAAGGTAAAAATGCTTTTTACTTTTTTTTTTTTGGTACCAAGGATTGAATTCGGGACCTTGCGCTAGCAAGGCATGTGGCTGAACCACTGAGCTAAGTCCCTAGCTCTGTTCTTTACATTTTTACAGGGCTTTTTAAAAAGAAAAGACAAAATATGCTGCTATAGAGATTGTATGTGACTCAGAAACACTAAAATATTAACTGTTTAGCCCTTTACCAAAAAAGTTTCCCAATCCCTAAATTAGTGTGAGGAAATTTCTAGAACGTAGCACAAAGGGCGTAGAGATTTTATTTATTGTTTGTTGTACTGGAGGTTGAACCCAGGGCTTTTGTAATGAGCTGCATCCCCAGCCCAATTTATTTATTTATTTGGTACTTGGGATCGAACTCTGGTCCTTGCACTTGCCAAGCAGGCGGCGAAACCACTGAGCTAAATCCCTGGCCCACCCAGCCCATTTTTAAATTTTGAGACAAAGTCTCAATAAGTTCTCCAGGTTGGCTGCAAGCTTGTGATACTCCTGCCTCAGCTTGTCAGAGTGCTGGAATTATAGTAAGATTCAGAAAGTCAAAGAATCTGGAGCCAAAATAAAAACAAAAACCCCACAAAATTTTATAGGTTGATGGTTTGTATTGAAGCTGCAGAACTCCAAAGATAAAAAGATGTTTAAAACAACCAGAATGAAACTCAGATTGCCTCCAAGATACAACTGGACTGTTGTCTCACTTTTCTATAGCAGTAAGGAAAGTTAGAGGATTTTCAAAGTGTTTGTGAAAAAGGAAAAGCTAGCAATATATATCCAGCAAAATCTTCATTCAAGATTTACGATGAACTCATTCCTCACTGAAGAACTATTGCAGGAAAAATGAAACAACCGGAAGGAAAGAATGGAATACAAAAAGGGCTGGACTTGTGAGCAAGGACGTTGGTCAGTGTGTGGGTGAAATCTAAACAGGCATGGGTTCTGCTGTTGAGAACAAATGGAGAGGATAGAAATGAAGTGGGGCTCCAACATTAGTTAATAGTGGCATATAATTTGGTTCAGGTTATTTATTTATTTTTATATTTTGGTACTGGGGATCCAAGGCAGGCGCCGAAAGCACTGAGCTAAATCCCTGGCTCTGGTACGGGTTATTTATTGTAGGTAGTGTTCTAAGAATCTTATTAGTTGACCAGAAAGAGGAAATACTAAGCTTTCAACCTGGTCAATGATGAGTGCACATTACACTTTCAGGGTAAGTTCTAAAGAGAATTGAATACAGTCCTGGGAGAGAAATTGGTTCCAGTGACTCTGGGGATGCCAAAATCTGCTGACATTTGTGTTGTTTATATTAAAATGGCATGGTGTTTGCATTTGTTTACACATATCCTTCTGTATACATTCAGTCATCTCTAGATTACTTACACTACTGTTTTAGCCTGCTTTTTGTTACTGCAATGAAATACTTGCAGCCGAATAATATGTATAATGATTTATTTAGCTCACAATTTTTGGGGTTTGAAAGTCCAAGCAGCATAGTGCTGGCTTTGGCCAAGTTTCCTTGTAGCTGGGTCACCTCCACAGGTGGCCCATTTATTGGAATTAGTATATAAAAATTTAATTGTTATAAATATGCAAAAGAAAATAGAAGAAAGCTAGGCCTGATGGCACATGCCTGTAAGCCTGTAATCCCAGTATTCTGGGAGGCCGAGGCAGGAGCATCTCAAATTGATCTAAACTTGGAGAACTTAGTGACATGGTGAGAACTTGTATCCCAGAAAAAATAAAAATAAGAATAGATGAGAATTCCTAGTGCAAAATGGAGTATCTCAAAAAGAGCTCAGTAGACATTGTAGACCTGAAAAAAATATACCAGAAATTAAGAATTTATTTGGTGAAATTAACAGACTGAAGAATGGATTGGAGAGCTCAAAGACAGATCAACTGAAATTATTCAAGCTGAAGCACTATTAAGCGAGATAAAATAATTGATTTAGAGTAGTAACAAAGGACAAAATGGTGGAGAGAATGTAAGATTTGGCGTTGTGATTTGAGGGTCAGGACTAAGGTAGAGGTAATTGAATAAAGAAAGGGATAAACATCATACATCACTATTACACATATATTATTTTGATAATTATTTGAACTAATTGGCAAGATTTAGCAGATTAAATGTGGATGAGAGAAGTTGGAAGAATTTAAAATAACTCCAAGGCTTGTAGCTAATCAATAACCTCCTTTATGCCAGATACCATGCAGTATATTTTTTATTTACTATCTCTAATTTTTGTAGGTGTTGCCGTTTTATTGATGAACAAACAAATTGGGCCAGGGTATAGCTAGTGGAGCACTTGCCTAGAATTCCTGAGGTCTCATGCACACTCCCCAGCACCTCCACCAAAACAAAAGTGCAAAGCAGAAGGGCAAGGGTTGGAGTTGTGACTCCGGTGGGCTCTGGTAGTGGTGATAGGTGCTAATGAAAGCCTTTGAAGTGGATGCTTTCCTTAGCATATGGTGCTGAGAGCTTTGAGGTAGGCGGGTAGGAGGAAGAGTAGGTGGCCCCAAAGCAGATGGGGAACATGAGTCAAGGAGATGGGTGGCAGAACACCAAAAACAAACAACAGCAACAACAAACCCAAAACAAAAGTCCCACAGTTTCAGGGAAAACAAGGGAAGAACAGAGTTTTTAGAATGAGGAAGTGATTAATGACATACACAGAATCAGTTATTTAACAAACTTAGAATGTCTGGATACAGTGCTGGGTGCTGATGATACAGCAGGGATTGGAGCTGACAAAATTTCTGTGCTGAAGAAATAGGTCTTGGTGGGGGAGATAGTCATGGATGAGTGCATAAAAAGGTATTATGAAGGATATCAGTAGGTTAATGCCAGAAAGCATCAGGGACCAAGAAAGGTGCTTATAATGAAAATGTCAAGAAAATTGTCCTGAAGGATAAGAATCACCAGGAAAAAGCAGGGCTAGGGAGTGAGTGGACATTTCACACAAAAAGAGCAGCAGGTGCGAAGGCTCGGGCAGTGCAGAGCTCAGAGCTGTACAGAGCTTGCAGGAAGGCTGGTGTAGCTACAGCTGAGTGAGTAAGGCAGCTGGTGATGGTGAGTGAGATCGGATGTCATGGGGCTGGTCAGGAAGGGCCTGGTGGTGCAGTGGGAAGCACTGAAGATGCCTGAGGAGGGAAGGGGCAGGTTTAGTTCTGGTTGCTATAAGTAGGGCACATGGTAGGGATAGATATGAAGTCAGCTGGTGAGGTAGCGTTATGTATCGTGTTGAGAATGGATCATGTACTGGGTGGGACCAAATGTTTCTAGAGAGTGTTCCGGTGACGTGTATTCTAGATCTTAGTGCCTCACTGTCATTTCCCAGAGAATTACAGGAGAGATTCTCAGTGTTCTTTTTCTTTTGGGCTTGAAATAAGTTAATTAGCTGTGTAGAAGGAAAGTTAATGCCATTGGACACTGATGACACTTTTGCCTTATTCCAGTAAAAGAGCTGGCACTTAATAGGGATATATTCTTTTGAGTCATTATTGGATTATTAGTTTCCATTAGAACATTTATTTCATACTCAGCTCTGCATATACATTGGATGCACCAGAAATATTAGACTAAATATAGTCTCAAAATGAGTTTTAGAAAACATTTGTTTAGATTCTGTAATTTTTTTGAGCTTTCAGTATGAAAGTTTTCAAACACAGGCAAAAGCAGAGCGCGTACTGTTGTGTTGTAAACCTCCACATCTGCCTGTCATTTTACGTGCATGGCCGTCAGCTGGGGGCTGACGTCGGTCCATCTGTTGCTCTAGATGCTCCTCACCACCCTCATCCAGGTTTATTGTCTCTTCCCTCACTGGCCCAGTATATACTTAGACAGGTAAGGACGTCCCACATTTTAGTATTTTTCCTCACTTCCTTCTCGAGTGCATGGCAGGTACGGTATATTTAGGTGGTTTGCCTATTAGGGTCCTGGCTTACACCTGTTGTGCTAGTGTGTTTTTATCGGCATCTCTGGAGTAAACTAATGCCGCCGTATGTATACATAAAGGAGGCCTTTTTAGAGGGATAGTAAGGAAATTCTTTAACAGTGCCAGTACTGAGTATTTTTCTAATGGTGTGTCACTTTTCTATTTTCTTTTAAAATTAGGCCCTGGTGCTCACTATTTCAAGAAGTCTTATATGGAAGTATAATGCTACACAAGCCAGAGGAAGGAAGGATCCTGGCACACAGAAGTAAGAAAGGGAGGAATCACTATTATCTTGATTTTGTTTTCTTTTTTCTTTCACTCCATTCTTCTTTGTTATGTTTTGATCATTAGTGCATCTGTGAAAGAGAGATTTAAACACTTGAATCAAAAGGATAATGGGAATGCTTTAAAAATATTGACTTCCCCACGTTCTTTGGGGTGCTTGGCAGGCCCTAAATTATCCAGGTTTAGATTATCCAGACTTAATCTTTTCCAGGATAGAATTTTGTTTTGTCTTTGTGGTGCTTATCACTTCCTCTACTTATACCTTTTAGTAACACTGGTATCAGCTTTTTGTTGTTAAAGAGAAAGAAGACTGTTAGCAAATCTCTTGTAGTTGTGCATCTTGAACAAAGGTAGAAGCTGGAGAGAGTAGTTGAGGCTCTGTGAGATAGTACAGTACTTATTTTGTGATACCTTGTACCAGTACCTTTGGTGTTTATAGCACGTCTCTTAGGCTAAATGAATTTCTGTGATTCTTTGCACACCATATTATTGATTTCTGGATGTGTTGGATTTGAGAGGAAAGCAGAAAGCTTCTGTAAGGTGAAAGTTTGGTGAGAGCATAAGACTGGCAGCGCTGTTTCCCAATTCACTAGTATGAATACCCTCCCATGTTCTGCACTTCATTTTTGTCACAGCAGACTTGTTTCTCCCCTATGCACTTACCTCCATTTTAGAGAGTTAGGACATTGAGGCGTGAGGTCTGGGAGCATGTCTGTCCCTGAGGGATATGAAGTAATGCCTCTCATTCCTAAATATAGTGCTCTTCTGAAAGACCAAGTTACTATTTCTGTTTTAAGAAGGAGGACTTGATGTCTGCTAATGGAAGATAAATAGAAACAAACTGGGAAATACCTTTCCTCTCTGGATTCCTGTGTCTGCTACTGGGTGAAGAGCAAAATCATTCTCTTCAGCTCTTTTCTACTCTAAATTAAGCTTCTCAAAGTCCCTTTCTTTTGCTAAGTAGATCAAAAGGAAACATGTTCAGAGTGAATGTAGCCACTAAGGTTGGAGAGGAGAGTGTTTCTCTCCATGTGAGGATGATGCCCACGTCTCGGATAACAATTGTTCATCCACTATTGATTTTAGTGGACCATCACTTTATAGAGTTCTCATGCCCCTCTCAATCCAGTGATATAGGAAGAGGCTGGCTGGAGGCGTGCAGATCGAAGCTCTTCGGGAGCCTGTATCCATTTCTTACTAACCACAAGTAACATGCTCACATCAGACTGACGTCTACTTGGGGTTTAAGACACACACACCTGTTCCACACACTGTTCCACCTTAGCAGATTTAAGGATTTTTGTAAATGTTCTGGGGGGTTGTTATTGAACGCAATCTTTGTGAAACTGACATGTTTTTCTTTCTTTTTCAGGCCTGATTGTTGTCAGAGACATTGATAAGAGGCCGGCATTTTTAACTGCAGCTGTTCAAACAGCTACTGTATAACCTGTCCTAGAAGTCAGACACCCAGAATTTACTGTACTGTGAATAGAAACTATGCATATTTGTGGGTCCACAAAACCAAGGAATAGGAGCGATGGCCGTTGAAATGTTCTGTCTGATTCCAAGGTATTTTTCCTGGGTTTCATCATCAGGCTCCTCCTCCCTTTCATCTTGGCGACAATGTGGCACCTTTTACTGTTTGATGAAGATTAAGGACATATTCTTTGGTCAACAAGCAGAATTTAAAATCTACGAGAAGAGGGTCAGAGACTGTTTCAGTCACAGCTGAGGAAAATGAAATTTCCATTTTACATGGTGCCTTGTACAGGGAGCACACTGACTCTTCTGGAAACATCTGAGTGAAAAGAAGTTGAATTTTGCCAAATCGAAGCTCATGGTGATGGCAAGTGATCCAACGTGATCAGGGAGGGCAGCAGCCACAAAGAACTCATGACAGGCTATACCATGTTGCGGAATGGGGGTGCGGGAAATGGAGGTCAAACCTGTATGCTACGCTGGTCCAACCGCATCCGGCTCACGTGGCTCAGTTTTACACTCTTCATCATCCTGGTTTTCTTCCCCCTCATCGCTCACTATTATCTCACCACTCTGGATGAGGCGGATGAGGCGGGCAAGCGGATTTTTGGCCCACGGGCTGGTAATGAGCTCTGTGAAGTAAAACACGTGCTGGATCTCTGCCGCATCCGTGAGTCTGTGAGTGAAGAGCTTTTACAGCTGGAAGCAAAGAGGCAGGAGCTGAACAGTGAGATTGCCAGGCTGAACCTGAAGATCGAAGCCTGTAAGAAAAGCATTGAGAATGCCAAGCAGGACTTGCTGCAGCTCAAGAATGTCATCAGCCAGACGGAGCACTCTTACAAAGAGCTGATGGCTCAGAATCAGCCCAAACTTTCTCTGCCCATCCGATTGCTCCCTGAGAAGGACGATGCTGGTCTTCCTCCTCCAAAGGCCACATGGGGTTGCCGGCTGCATAATTGTTTTGATTATTCTCGTTGTCCTCTTACTTCTGGTTTTCCAGTGTATGTTTATGACAGTGACCAGTTTGCTTTCGGCAGCTACCTGGATCCCTTGGTCAAGCAGGCTTTTCAGGCAACAACACGGGCCAATGTCTATGTTACGGAGAATGCGGACATTGCCTGCCTTTATGTGGTTTTAGTGGGAGAAATGCAGGAGCCAGTAGTGCTGCGGCCTGCTGACCTTGAGAAGCAGTTGCATTCTCTACCATACTGGCGGACAGATGGACACAATCATATCATTATTAATCTGTCCCGGAAGTCAGACACCCAGAATTTACTGTACAATGTCAGTACAGGCCGTGCCATGGTGGCCCAGTCCACTTTCTATGCTGCCCAATATAGGCCTGGCTTTGACTTGGTAGTCTCTCCCCTAGTTCATGCCATGTCAGAACCCAACTTCATGGAAATCCCACCACAGGTGCCAGTGAAGCGGAAATATCTTTTCACCTTCCAGGGTGAGAAGATTGAATCTCTGAGATCCAGCCTTCAGGAGGCCCGCTCCTTTGAAGAAGAAATGGAAGGTGACCCCCCTGCCGACTATGATGATCGGATCATTGCCACCCTCAAGGCGGTACAGGACAGCAAGTTGGATCAGGTCCTGGTAGAATTTACCTGCAAAAACCAGCCGAAGCTGAGTCTGCCTACTGAGTGGGCACTGTGTGGGGAGCGGGAGGATCGCCTAGAGCTGCTGAAGCGTTCCACCTTTGCCCTCATCATCACTCCTGGGGATCCCCACTTGGTTATTTCATCTGGATGTGCCACCCGGCTCTTCGAAGCCCTGGAAGTTGGTGCTGTCCCGGTTGTACTGGGGGAGCAAGTACAGCTTCCATACCAGGACATGCTGCAGTGGAACGAGGCGGCCCTGGTGGTGCCCAAGCCACGTGTTACCGAGGTTCACTTCCTGTTACGGAGTCTCTCTGATAGTGATCTCCTGGCCATGAGGCGTCAAGGTCGCTTTCTCTGGGAGACTTACTTCTCCACCACTGACAGTATTTTTAATACCGTGCTGGCTATGATTAGGACACGCATACAGATCCCAGCTGCTCCCATACGGGAAGAGGTAGCAGCCGAGATCCCCCATCGTTCAGGCAAGGCTGCTGGAACTGATCCCAACATGGCGGACAATGGGGACCTGGACCTGGGCCCGGTAGAGACAGAGCCGCCCTATGCCTCACCCAAATACCTCCGCAACTTCACCCTCACTGTCACTGACTTATACCGCAGCTGGAACTCTGCTCCAGGGCCTTTCCATCTTTTCCCTCACACACCCTTTGACCCTGTGTTGCCCTCAGAGGCCAAGTTCTTGGGCTCAGGGACTGGATTTCGGCCCATTGGTGGCGGAACTGGGGGTTCTGGCAAGGAGTTTCAGGCAGCCCTTGGAGGCAATGTGCCAAGAGAGCAGTTCACGGTGGTGATGTTGACTTATGAGAGGGAGGAAGTGCTCATGAACTCTTTAGAGAGACTGAATGGCCTCCCTTACCTGAATAAGGTAGTCGTGGTATGGAATTCCCCCAAGCTGCCCTCAGAAGACCTTCTGTGGCCTGACATTGGTGTCCCCATCATGGTAATGGAAAAATAGGCCCTTTGTTTCACTTCATGAAATGTTGTTTCACTTCTAATGCCCTTGCCAGCATTCTTTAACTTCAGGTGTCCTAACTTTTAGTAGAGAGGATTATACATCCACCTTTGTTTTTAAACCTGTATGTATTCCTTTTCCTATGAAGTTTCTGCTTGCTGCTTTCCACATCTTGCCATTTCCATTGCTGCTACTAACTTTCCAAAGCTCCTAAGGGCTCGTCAGCTGAAATTGGTACTGGTCCCATGAAGGTTTACAAACCCCGTCAGTTGTCCTGTAGACTTCTTCCAAGCTGATGAATTTAACAGTGATGAGAAAGCTCACAGGAAGAATGTAGGTCTTGGGCACAATAATTAGTGTATGTGATGTGTGTCATTATCACCGTGTCTTTATTTTGTATCTGTGGGAACTGAGGCTTCGGTTAATTAATTTGCTCAAGGCCATCATGAGTCATGGAGGATCTGAGCTTTCGTGTTTCTAATTGTAGAAACTGCAGTTTTAATTACTTCCAAAGGATTGGGGCAAGAACTCTTGTCATTTCCCAGGGTCCTAGGCCGCCTGATGTCTGGAGTTCAATACTTGGAATTGAAGATCCTGAAACTTCTTTTTTAGAATGTCTTGCTGGTTCTTTCTCATTCTTTACCTCTTAGGTTTAGGCGATGTATTTTACAGGAAAAATAGTAGCAAAACGTACAGCATAGGACATTCGTTCTGAGGGCTTTAAGTTCAACATGGCAGTCTAGAAGTGCAACCCATCTCTTAAATGTGAGGCCTTAGAGCTGATCTTAAGCAGACTATTGCCTACTTACTCTGGAATAAAGATCTTTTCCAGGAAAAGGTAGCAAAGAATGTCAAAAAGCCTGATAGGCCATGTGTTATTAGGCTCTTGTTCAAGAAAATTAGTATTTTTTAGGGATAGTATGTCAGGAAAAGGATGTTTGAGCTAGTCCAGTTTTTAAAAAAATTACTGAGAACTAATTCAATTGAAATATTAACTGTGCAGTAGTATGTAGTAATAGAAAAAGTCTGACTTTTAGAGTGATATAGACCTGAGAATAGTGATTTTGTGAGCTTTAATAAGTTGATTAGCTTTTTTGACCTGAGGTCTAAAGAGAAATCTAATATAATACACATAGGATACTAAAAGGGTAGTCAGTGGTTGTTTCCTTCTTACCCCTTAAAATTCAAAGAAGATGGAAGCCATTGTATACATTCTGCTATGTTATAGGCAACTTTAGCTGACTCACTAATCTGCTACATAATTTCCCTTTGCTCCATATTTATCACTATGTATTTACTCCTGCACAAATACCTAGCAATCTTTTTCAAACATTTTTTCTTACTACTGTCAATCTTTTTTATTATTTAATTGAATTCATAATCTGAGGCTGTTCAAAGGCTATTAGACACTTTGATCCCCGAGTTTATCTTGTTAATAAAAATCTATAAATAGACTTCTCCAAATTTTGTTTTTCCCCAAATTTCATTTATTTCCTTTCTCAGTTACAACTTTATGAGTGCCATTGAATAAAGTACTTACTCTGTGAAAGACAGATGCTGCTCACGTAGTGGACTAGTGTAGTGGAGCAGACTTTGGTTTCTGTTTTTCTTGAGTTTTCTTTGAGATCGGTAGGAGTACGGAAGAACTGGCGCGACCCTGTGAACAATGACTGAAATCCATTAGAAGACTTGTCAGAACAAATCTTTTCTTTAACTCTGGTGGGAAATAAGTAGTCCTCTTTGATTACATGGCAGTCCATTGCAACAGCACAATACTTAGTTGGAAATGCCTGAAACTTTCCAAATGGGCTATTCTAAAAAGCTTTCGTATTAGGAATACATTTTTTTCTTTCTTTTCTTTCTTTCTTTTTTTTTTTTTTTTAGAAAAGGAACAGTTTCAGACTGGAGAATCACACTCTATTTTCTAAATATTTTTACTGTGCTTTTGACTTGAGAGAGGCAGGTGTTTTGGGAAGGACTTGAAATTGCTGACCTTTTGGGTGTAGCCAGGTACCAGGGATAGTGAGACACTGGCAGCTCTCTCACCTGTAGGAGGATGACATTATGATGCTTCTCAAGGTGGTTCTTCCACCTCCATGTGGAGTTGGCCTTTTCATTATGTTATGGTTAGCAGGTCTTTATAAAATTAGCAGGTGGTACCCAGGCAGTCTGGCAAATTCTAGTCCTTCAGGGAAAATAATTTGAAGTCATCATATTGGCTGATTAAGCCAACCAGGGTACATCTATGTCATTTCAGAAAAGGCATTTAAGTTCTCTTATTCTCTGTCCAGACTAAGTAATGAGCATAAATGCTAGGTGTCCATGGTGTCTGTGAAATCTACTGAGCCCTAGCTCTTTGAGTGGAGAAGAATTTTCTTAGGGGTACCAGATAGAACCTAGATATTAAAGTTCTTCATTCTCTTTTTTG